ACATAGAACATAGAACATAGAACATAGAACATAGAACATAGAACATAACAGCGCAGTACAGGCCCTTGAGATGGGATCTGTTCAAAAGTTTATTAGAGTTCTTTGAATCTGTTTATACTTAAATTTTGAGGTTTCTTCCCTGAACCATGTTCCTAATCTTTCTGTAGCGTTTGTCAGTTTCTTGGTTACTCGCTTCTTTTCTAGCTTTTCTATCTTGTCACTTGTCTTTCAGTCTGGACTTGATGTAGCTGGAACTCCCCTCAGCAGATGCTGAGGTGGTCTCTCACACGCATCTACTTTGAGATGATAGTCACCCGGTAGCCATCCAAGATGGAATATAGCAAGAACTGCAGATGCTGGAGTCAGAGATAAGTGTGGAGCTGGAGGAACACAGCAGGCCGGGCAGCATTAAAGGAACAGGAAATTTGACGTTTCAGGTTGAGACCCTTCTTCAGGATCTGTTCAGCATTGGATGTCTAAGTGCCATGCTAAAGACTGCAGATCTCATCTGCCACATGTAGGGCTATGAGTCCATGCTTTAAACTTGCTTCAGCTGAGATGAGTGGATTTTAATGCCGGCTGACATCTCTCCCAAAGTCAGTCATAGCCTTGATTTGTTTTTCTTTCTAGCTAAACTTTGTATGCAAAGTGATCCAGGTTCTTGTAGTGCTATCACTACTTCATCACACTACATACATACTTTGTGTGTTGTTGCCTGCAATATTTACATTTTGTTCTCTGGCCTGGATCTTTTTGTTGGCTCTTCTACAGATACTACTTCCTGCTTTCCAGTTTGCAATTCTCACTTAATCTACAATGTGTTTCAGCTTAATGCAAGTCCATGGCTGTTTTCCCACTTATATGCTCCAGCTGATGATTGACAACCTCAGAGCTTCAGTACATATTGATTAGCTTCCTTAAAAATAGGTTCTTGTTTTCTCAGCAGACATGTTCTTATGAATAAGGCAATCCTATCTCTGCTGTGATCATCTTTCATAGATTTGTCTATACCATCACACATTAATCATTGAGAGAAAAGCATACTTGATCAACATCTTACCAATCTGCCAGCAACAGATGCATCTGTCCATGACCGTATTGGTAAGAGTGACTACTGCACAGTCCTTGTGGAGCTGAAGTCTTGGCTTCAGTCTGAGAATATCCCGCATTGTGTTGTGTTGCACGATCACTGTGCTAAATGAGACAGATGTTGAACAGATCTAGCAGCTCAAGACTGGGCATCTGAGGCACTGTGGGCCGTTAACAGCAGCAGAA